AGGACCCCCAAGGATGCCAAAACCTGATGACGCTCCAGTCCCTTATATAAAACATCACAGTGAGGGCTTCCCTGGTGGCGCAGTGGTTGAGAGTCCGCCTGCCGATGCCGGGGACACGGGTTCGTGCCCCGGTCCGGGAGGATCCCACATGCCGCAGAGCGGCTGGGCCCGTAAGCCATGGCCGCTGAGCCCGCGCATCCGGAGCCTGTGCTCCGCAACGGGAGAGGCCACAACAGTGAGAGGCCCGCGTACTGCAAAAAAACAAAAACATCACAGTGAAGTTGTCCCTCTGTATCTACGGATCCAGAAAGCCAACTGGAATGATACAGCTACGGTTTAAGATCTGGATGCGGAAGCCACCTACTGGCTGGGTGACCTTGGGCTGAGATCCTCCACTTCTCTGAATCTGTTTCCTCGTGTGCAGAATGGGAGTAATGATGGACCCTCTCCCATTGGCTTAGTCTAAGTGTTCACTGAGATAATGCATGGGAAAAGCTTGCTATGTTTGAGGCAGAAAATGCAAGCAGTAAATACTGGCTGCTGCTATCTTAGTAGTTTTTATAAAATGCAATCAGGAGTATAGTGGAATATCCCCTATGTATATCCACATAAACTCGTCTGCCTCAGAACCACACGTCTCCTGTTGAAGAAGTAGGCTCAGCTTGGTTAGATAACAAGAGGCCAAGAACCCAACTACTTTCCCTCTTTGCTCTGGCTGCCAGGAAGCTGAGGTTCCGTAACCAGAGGGTTGAGGGTGTGTGTTAGGAGAGGGGCGTACAAATGTGAGCCACAAAATTACATACATTAATTAATTTACATATTAATGTGAATGTAAGTACAGAGAGTAAGCAAAGGGTATGTAACCAAAAAATGGAGGAACAGAAAAGCTGAATCAGGTAATTTTAATTAAAACATTGTAATTTTTATGGATTTTTATGTTATTATTTGTTAGTGTTTTAATAGTTGTGATTTGCTAGACTTCTCTTCCTACATACATATTCACTTTTACATTCACTTTCAAAACTTTATATTATTTTTCTTAAAGGGATCCCTCTAAAACTTGGATCAACCCCTGCAAGACATAGAAAAGTCGACAGTGTCCTTCCTACTGCAAGATTTTCCAAGGGGCATGGCTGCAGGGAAAGCTCTAAGCAGGGCTCTCAAACTGTGGTCCCCAGATTGGCAGCATCAGCCTCACCTGGAAACTTGTTAGCAATGCAGATTCTCAGGTCTCACCCTAGACCTACTGAGTCATAAACTGTGGGGTATGGCCCAGCAATCTGTGTTTTCACAGGCACTCCAGGTGTATTGGAGGCACTCTGAACTCTGCACACCATTAGCTCTCAGGGAATCCATTTCCAGATCCTCAGGGTAAAAATATGCATTTGTATTGATCCTTTCACCTAAAATCGATCAGCTTGAGACCTGACCTACGATCTACCAGTTCTCAGCACCCACAATCCCCTCTTCTACTTTATCAGAGGGCACGCCTCTCACAAACCCAGAATCTCACCACTCTGGTTGCACAGCCATGGCGAGTTTTTATTCTGGGTCACCAAAGGGTCCGTGTGAAATATTTTTCATGTAATAACCTGCCTTTTCCCTTCCCTCCTTGTTGGCAAACACTGCCTTGCTCCAGAGGTTGTCTCCATACGTTCCATTCCTGCAGCAAACTACAGCGCGGCTTCCTGCCAGCATCTCTCCATCCTAGAACTCGGAAGGGAGATGGCTATTACTGGACATGCATTACCACAACTATTAGGACTGAAAAATGAAATCAGACATTTCCGGTGAGCAAATAAGCCTGATAGGGCCAATTACCTTGAAAACAAGCATCCGCTTAGCCAATTATGTTAAATGATTTTTCTAAATTGAATAAGTCTACAGCTTCAAGGTTTTGATGCAAACATATTTAAGGGAGGTCATAAGATAAAGGCACTTATTTTTTTTAATGTATTATCAGAGATAATATTGCATTTAATAATATTTTAAAATTTCCCAGCACTTTTGAGTATTTCAGGTTACACAAGGTGCCTCTAAATTGAAAAATAACAGGTACAAAAAATAATCATTTGACAAATCTTGGAAGGCCTTTCTGGAATACATAACAGAAAGTGCGAAAGTGAATGACTCTAATAACTGAATAACAAATCTTTTTGCAAGTCACTGGTTTCCAATTCTTTGCTTGCAACAGAATTGAAAGAGAGCCCAATTTATTTGTCAGCAAATGGATTCTAAAAATTAAGTTCTGATCATAAACTACTGGGTAATTTTTGGCATATCGCTAAGTTCAAAGAATTAAGATATCTATAGCTATAGATATTTATATATAATAGCTATAAAAACTCTTTGTACTTCTATCCACTTATTTATGTGAATGAGGTTACATCTATAAAAATGACAAATAGGATAATTGATTCTAAAACCCATCTCATTCTGGCAATAAGTAGTGTTCATCCAGAGACATACAATTCAATTAGAGAGAGAGAGAAAAAAAACAAGTTATTTAATAAAAGGAAATTTTTCCAAAAGAATTTTACCTTTTTAATAATTAGCAAAATACATATTTACGTTATTTATATAGTAATTGTAATGTTAGTTCAATCCTGAAGAAATTTTTTAATACTTGGAGTTTTATGATCACAGAAAATTTGTTAGACCTTCTATTTGTCAAACTATGTATGTTTTTGTGGCACGGTTTGAGTGGGTGGGCAGCAAAACTTTAAAGGACTGAAATATATTAAATCAGTAGAAAATTCTGTGGTGAAAAAGGAATAAAGAAGAACTTGTTTGAAAGTACTTTTAAATAGGTGATGGTAGGTAACAAATTGCAATGGTTTTTAGATTTAAACAAATATATTTAAGAGAGTAACTTTCAGTTTCATTTTAAAATGTCCTTATTTACCCACAAAATCAGTTTAGGGTGGCCCAGATGGGTTTTCCAGCAATGGAAGCCGGCTCTAGGCTCCCTTTTGGTTATCTCGCTAAGCAGGTGTCAAGCTTTTCAAATAACAGGGCAGTTTTCTCCAAGAATTTGATCAGCCTGCCACTGAAGATGCCCTTCACCCTGCTCCCTTCAGAGTAGAGCTTCCTCAATGTACCCCATGATGCCAGAAATCCCCGCCTTGGAAAGGTGGATATTTGAGGAGGACCAAGCTCTTCAAAGAGGGCATTTCTGTTGTGTGGAGGCCATGTGGACCCCCAGCTGGCCTCCCTGCCTCCTTCCCACATCCCCACACAGGCACGGAGATTATTCTGAGCTGTGGGGAAAGCCTCTGGCCCGGGCCTCTCCGAGCCAGTCCCAGTTCTTATCCCTCCCTGGGGTCCCTGTTTAAAGACTGTAGGGCTGGACTTCCCTGGTGGCGCAGTGATTAAGAATCCGCCTGCCAATGCAGGGGACACGGGTTCAATCCCCTGTCTGGGAAGATCCCACATGCCACGGAGCAACTAAGCCCCTGTGCCACAACTATTGAGCCTGCGCTCTAGAGCCCATGAGCCACAGCCACTGAAGCCCACGTGCCACAACTACTGAAGCCTGCAAGCCACAACTACTGAGCCTGTGCTCTAGAGCCTGCGAGCCACAACTACTGAGCCTGCATGCCCTAGAGCCCAACACACTACAACTACTGAGCCCACACGCCGCAACTACTGAAGCCCACGTGCTCTAGGGCCTGCATGCCGCAGCTACTGAACCCACATGCTGCAACTACTGAAGCCCACGCACCTAGAGCCTGTGCTCTGCAACAAGAGAAGCCACCGCAATGAGAAGCCCGTGCACCAAAACGAAGGGTAGTCCCTGCTCGCCGCAACTAGAGAAAGCCTGCGCGCAGTAACAAAGACCCTACGCAGTCAAAAAATAATTTAAAAAAAAGACCGTAGGGCTTGTCCTGGGTATCAAATCCAATTTGGCCATGATTAAAGGAAACACACACACAGAGCCTGCCGTGTGCCAGGTGCCATGTTAAGCACTTTACACATAATGATCCACTCAGTCCACTCTGTGCATGTGGACTGTTATCACCATCCCATGTAATGGATGGGAAAACTGAAAATGGATGGTATAACTGTGTAACTTGGCACAAAGCTCGTCAGTGGCAGAGCTAGGACTTACCCCAAAGAGCGTGGATCCGGAGTCCCTACCCTCACCCCGACACCCTCCAGCGCTGTCCACACAGGATGCTCCAGTCCACTTGCTCCACAGCTGACTGAGGGCTCCAGCTACCAGGGCTCTGCATCTTGGAGAGGGAAGGCGGGGCTGAGGCGTGATCTATGGCCCTTCAGCTGTCCACTGGCATACTGGGCCTGCTTGGACTTGAAGTCAAGAGGATTACAAACCCATGGGACTTCATACACACACTCACCCTGCCTTGTTCTGAGATCACCCTGCATGTGTTCTGAGATCAGCAGGTGCTTCCGAACTCGGGACTGCCCTTCACCCTTTGCAATTCAGGATTTTTATAAAGCCCCATCAAAATTGCAATGACACAGAGCTGGGACACCAGGATGTCACAGGGGCAGAATCAGAATCAGCAATCCCCTTCAAGACCCCATCAAGATTCAGGCAGCAGTAGGCACAGAGGCCATCCCTCTGAAACCCTCCTAGGTCGTGCTTCCCCTGGACCATTAATCCCGTCTTAACCTGTAAAAAGATAGGAGAAAGGAATTGCCTTGCTTAAGGTTAACACCAAGAATTCCTTCCAGGCTCTAGAGAGACTCAGGTAAATGGCAGCAAGAATTGAGAGTGAGTCAGGCCTGGGAGAAAGGAGGCTAAGGTGAAGAGGGTAGGGATAGGACAAAGGTCATTAAAAGTGGCTCTGACCCATACGTGAAGGACGGTTAAATGAAGGTATGACAGACAAGCCTGAAGTGGTATTACTCAGGGCTTAGCTGTAAGGAAACAAAATAAAGTTTTTATTCATCCTGTTTTATAGACTCTGCTCCCCTCTTTATCCTCTATATAATGTGTATGTGTGAGTATATAAAGGAGAAACAAAATGACAACTCAAAAAAAAAAGAATCTTTTAATAAAAATTACTCATAAAAATCCTAATAAATTTCAAAGAGCAAGATATTTCTTAGTACATTTATAAAGAACATTTGGTCCTTTTAAAAAAAGCTCCCTTTTAATTTAAATACATTTCTTATTTACAGATTAAACATAAAATATCATCTATAGTTGCAAAGCATATTGCACGTTACAGAGAGAAGCATTTGTATATTTCAATAGGTTTTTCCCAGAGTTTCCAACTCTAGATTTTTTTGTGTGTGTAAAAACATATTTACCTTTCTTGTGCATAATAAATAAAAATGCAGCCTGTGTTTTGCTATTTAAAACTAAAACAAAATACCTTTAAAAATATTATTTCTCTGCCTCTCAGTAAGAGGGAAGGGGGGTAACAAATCAAGAAGGTCCACGGGTACTTAACATTCTCGCCAGATTCACATGTAAATTCAAGGGGGAACTAACCCTGAGCCCTACAAAACCTGGGGACACACAGCCCAGCCGACTCACCTTCTCACTTTCACAAGAGTCCCTGCCCTGCAGGAACAGGCACTAGAGAAGGAGCTGGATGTCTGGGAATGGAAAACGAAAGAAAGATCAAGACTTTTTTTTTTCTAAAGTCCCTGCTCAGCCACTCTAGGGCTGGGGCAATCATCCGGCCCGACCTGGTCACCAGCATTAAATTTGCGGTCGGCAAAAAGAAAGAAAGACCTCTAGAAAAAAAGAATTTCTGATATTTTGTCTACAAAACCCAAAGTGAAGGATTACAGTTTGAATTCATTCAGTAACTGAGCTAAGAAAATAGCTGAGAGGGATGTTTTTCTTTGGTGGAGGACACAGCAGGGAGGCGAGAGGAATCAAGCTGAGACCCTCAGATTGCACGTATCCAGCCAGGGAGCTAATTTCCATCTGCACAGACACCATCCTGGTGCATAAACACACAGAAAACTACTGGACTGATGTGCACACGCCCCATGGTCCAGGACAGCCTCAGGACCTGGGGATTCAGTTGCACAGAGCAGTCACACAGAGCAAGTTCTGACGGAAGATTTCCAAGTTCTGAAGGGAAGATTTGAACATGGAAGCTGGATTTCCACAAAGGCCAGGACAATTGGAGAGCTAGCAAACACTTCCTTCGTCACCTCCTCCTCCAGGAAATGGAGTTCCTCAGTCACAGCATCTCAGCCAGCGAAGCCTACCCTGGAACAATTTAGAACTCTGTGGTGGGAGATTTAGACTCCACCCACAAAGGTAGCTATAAGGTAGCTTCCCACAAAGGTTTGGCAAAACCACTTTCATTGTGTGAACCAAAGCAGAGTCTAGACATTAGCTACACACAGGATTGCAAGGATGGCGCAAGCTGTCAGCTGTTCCAAAGCATGGAATGTTTGGAATCAGGGTGCTCCTAGGGCAAATCACAAGGGAATTTCTCTGACACTCCCCTCCTCAGCCCTCGCCTTCCTGATCTCCCACGACGCAGAAGAAACAGCAAAGACCCTGAAGGACATATCACAGTTGTTGACACTCTGACCTTTAAAGAGAAAGCAAGTTTTGAACGTGGCTCAAAGGCCCTTCTCTGTAACTAGCCACGAGGCGGGCACTCTGGCATCTAGTCACTGACTACGTGGCATCCAACTTTAGACTGGGCAGTCTGGAAGCTCAGCAACCAGGGTGAGAATGGGTCGCTCACCCTCGGACTCACGAGTGGTACAAGTCCAGTGCCTGGAAGCCAAGAAGGTCTGAGACTTAATACAAAACATGTCTCATGCCAGCCTGTAGCCGTGAGGTGCCTCTGTGGCACTCAGGCCCAGGTCCCTGTTCCAGAGCGGGAGGGAGATGGGATACCTGAGCCCAGAGGAGGGGGAACATTGGGGTGCGATAACCTAACAGTGTGATCACAAAGGGCCCACTTTCTTCCCTGAGGTGCCCCATTCTCCCAAACAGCTCATTTATAGTCCCACCTTGGTTTACCTGGAGAACAGGTGCAGGGATGCTCATGCAGGTGTGTGTCTTTAAAAGGGGATATTTTGGGTTGACTGAGGCAACGAAAATATTTTAAATATATAGAGTATTCTCAAAGAAACTTTTCTGTTCAGTAGATGAGACAATGTTGATAAACAGAATGCTTCTGAAATGAAGAAAAAATGTAAAACAGAAGCATTTGATTTTTTTTCCTTTAAAACATTTGCACAGTAAATGTTTAAAAGACAGAGGTGACGTTTATTACTGAAAATCCCTCTTCTAAAAACCTCAAAGAACTGAATTAGATATCTATTTTAAAACCAGCAACACTTAAATTTTCAAGAATAAAATTCCTCCCTTTTGACTGAAAATGCAATGGCTTACACAGCATTCCTTTCTAGCTTTAAAAAGACTAAAATAAAATCATTTGAAGTATCCTAGCGGTGACGGGTGAGCCACACGACAGGTGAAACTGGAGGTTTTTAAGAGACTTCCTACCCTTTCTATTGAGGTTCATTTCAACCTCTGACGTTACAGGGAAGCCAAAGCTCAGGGTTCAAACCCACCTCTGCTTTCTCTGAGCCCTCTGCACAAGTTCAAAGAGACACAGTTCCATGCTCACTAAAGAAATAATACCAACAAAGAAAAGAGGCGTTTTAGCACAACTTCCTCTTTATGTATGCTTGCTTAAAATATCAGGTTGAAAGGCAAGGACTGACCAAGAAGTTTCCAGAACCTGCCTGATATCCATCCCATGCCCCTTTCGCTGTGGTCACACCATGTAGCAATACAAAACAAGGCGGTTAAAATCACAGCAGCAGCTGTGACATCCAGTGGCCCAAACCAAAAGAGTATAAGGCACCCATCAAAAGCCTGCATTGCACAGAGAAATGGCTCAAGGATGCCAGAAAGTCATCTGATCATTTCTTTCTCCCTGACTTAGCTGATTGGCACTAGACACAGGAAACAAAAACGAAACAATTCCAACCCAAACATGGTCGGAACTGATAATCCTTGGTTAGTAAATATAAGACAGATGAAAGCTCAGACGATCATAGGTATTTTTCTCTCCCTTGAAAGGCACCTGGTTCTGAAACTATGGGAGATCCTCAGGTGAGTTCATAATAAATGTAGAACACCATCCAAAAGATCTACCTGTTAAGCTCTTAAACTGTGAGGCGACAACTTAAGAGACTGCCTGTTAGAATTCGGATAAATTCGTGAGCAAATAACCTGTCAACACTGTGACGAACTGCATGGGGCGCAAATGCATAGCTGGATGATTTTTCCCCATGTGACCGACAATCGTGGGTGGAGACCTGGGAGACAGCCCAATTATCCAATCAGAGAGAGAGGATGACAAAATGCAGTAAACAGGGATGTCAGGGGAACCGCAGGCCCTGCTGCACAGAAATTCATTCACATTCCTCTGGCAGAGAGGCGGCCAGGCAGCGGTCGACAAGCGCCGGCAGAGAAGACTCGACGGATTCCACAGTAGGAAGGTCTGGAGATCCAGCCAAAGAGGCCCATCCACGGTGCACAGTAACATCAGCACGTCGTAAGAAGCCAACTCCTACGTACCTTCTCACTTCAAAGTATATCCTTAAGACAAACAGGGCATTTTATTGAACAGAAGAGAAACGCTAAAGTATCCAAGAATCTACCAGGTGCGGCTGGGGAGCTGGACAGAGATTCCTACACCATCGTGGACAGCCAGACGCCTAGCCTCCTCCACTTCGGACTGGGTCTCAGCCTGGCCTGGGTTCAGCTGTTTTAGGTCCAGTTTCAGATGAGGCCACACAGGGGAGAGCAGATCAAATCAAGCCAACCATCTGGTCAATCTGTCGCATGTAGACGCTCTTTAAGGGCAGGGAATATCGCCTCTCGTCAGGAACACGATTGCACTAGAAAGAAAGTAAATGAGGGACAATTCGAATTTTGAGTTAAGACGCCATGTGTTAATTCCTCAGATGTGACTGGGTGACCTCCCCTGGGGTTTCTCATCCTGGCACTGTCAACACTTGGGGCCTGTCCCGTGCACTGCGGGATGGTCAACAGCATCCCTGGGCTCTCCCGCTATATGCCCCCTGCCCCTAAGCCCCAGCTGTGACAACCAAGATTGTCTCCAGACATTGCTCAATGTCCCTTGAGGAGCAAAGTCACCTCCAGTTGAGGACCACTGATGTAATTTAATTTCCTCACTTCACAGGTGAAGAAATGGAAACCCAAGGAGGCTAAAACACATGCACCCAAGTGAAGAGGGGCCGAGACTAAAACCTGCACCCCTTGGGTCCTCAATCCACCCAGAATCACAAAAAATGTTTTAGCTACTTGAAAATACTGTTGTTTTTCTGAGTCTGTTGCTCTTCTCATCCACAGCTAAAACCTAAATGCTTAAGAGTGTTACTTATTTACTTATTTTTTTAAATTGCTTTTCTCTCTCTCAAAGGGGATTTAAGTTTGAGAACCAAACGTGCTGCCTGGAAAGTTTCCACATATATTCACACTCTTCCTCAAAGAAACATTTGCTCGCTGCTCTGTACCTGAACTCACACGCCCTGCTCCTCAACTTTGCAAGATCGAGACTGACAGGTTCTTCAGTTGGTCCCAACATCCCCCACTCGTGCTTTTTGTAGGTGCTGTGCCTTCTGCCAGAGCGTCCCTCCTGGGAAGCCCCCCCTCATCATTCCAGGAGCTACTGAGAGGCAACCTCCTGAGTGAAGCCCTCCTTGTTTTCCTGGCAGAATAATTCCTCCCTCTTCAGTGTTTCAACAGCACTTCACACAGCCTCCTACTGACAAGCACCCCGGGGGAACCGGTCTCTACACTGGGCCCTGGGCCCGTCCAGCACCAGGACCCCTCTGACCGGCCCGCATCCCCGGTGCCCGGCACAATGGAATCGGGTCTATCAGACAAGTGTCTCCTTCAGTACAAATCCGGGCTCCACCACGCGGCTCCACCGTGTGACCTGACCCTCTCTGTACCTCCCTTTTTCTGTCTGTGAAGTAGGGATATTACGATACCTACCCCTCACAGGGCTGCTATGAGAAGTTAACATACTTAAGCATTTAGCACAGTGCTTAGCATGTGGTAAGCTCTATAAATAAATGCTGGCTATGATTATTCTCTCTCCTTCTGTTTTACCCTTTCCTCTCAATCACGCTTTGTTCGCTTAATCTGCACTCCATGGCCTAATATAAATTTCAGGGTCTTATCTATAGCTACAGAAATGGCCTCTTTCTGAAACTCTTCTCAAATTACCCAACCTGAGTGTGCCATGAATATTCTGTCAGACACTCTGGATGATAATGTTATGAGTAGTGTTTTCTCTTCCTCCAATTGCAAACCACCCCTGGAGAAAGCAACTTACATTGGAGCTGGAGTTGATGACTTTTAGCTCATGAGGTCTCGGCCTGTGCCCCGACTTTCCCACTGGGTCCCGCCCTCCCTCTTCAGAAAAGAACTCCTTCCAGGGTGACTCCCGGAGATGTGCGTCCACAGATACAATGTGTCCCTCAGTTGTAAACATGTATCTGGTTCCAGATTTGTGTACTGGATTCTCCTCATCAAAGAGCTAGTAGAAAAAAGAAAAGAAAACAGACACAATTGTAGCAGGTTTGGAACCAATTCATAGGGCGGCTGAGTTCAGACTACTTAGGGACAAGAACCTGCCTGGCTCTCAGGCCAACTCAGGCTGCGGGGCGGAATCCCCAGTTGTGTTGAAATTCAGACGCCTGGACTTCCCCGATCCCGCCCAGACCTAGAGATTAGAAAGCCCGGGGCTAAGACCCAAGCACCACTAATCTGTAAAAGCCCTAGATGATGCCCCCATGCTCTCCGGAGAGTTCCAGCGCTGGAATCCTGGAACTACCCCCAGCTCACACCCACCTAGGCCTGAAACTGAAAAAGCCTGGAGAGAAGGAGGTCCGTGGTTTATCCTTCACCAGGTCCCCAGGACCTGACACACGTGCCACCGCGTAGCGCACTCCTGTGTGGGCTCTGAGGGCACAGGGCACCCCAGGCAGTCCTTCCTTCAGCAGCGGGCATGGGGGGTGGAGGAGGGCGCAGCGGGGGCATCTAGAAAGAACCCCTAACCCAGGCATGCAGTAAACGATGCATGAGGAAGAACGCAGAACTCTTAGAGACGGAGGAAACCTCACAGGCACCTCAGGTATTTTACAAACGAGGGAGAACACTTGGCACAGCTGCTCCGTGTTCACACGGCTCCCAGGAGGAGAACAGGGTCGGCCTGGGTCCTCCCCCTCCGCCACCACCCCCCCAACCCTGAGTTCTTTCTACAGGAACACCTTGGGGGTCTCCTCCATTCATTCGCTCCAGAGCTTGCCCCATGAATACCCCGGACCCCACGGCTGCCGGACGGGATGCCCGCCAGGCTCTCGGCAGCCGACCGCACTGGCCGCACTGTGCGGTGTGGGAGACCTCGGTGCCCACAGGACCTGGTGGCAGGACCACGCGGCCAGAGGGCGGGCACACCTCCTCTGCCTGCCACGAGAAGTGACACCAGCAGCAGTGTAATCTGAGAGGACTAGACCGGGGCTGCCGAAACCCGGCTTTGTACAGGACCATGAGAGGCACCTGTCAACATTACAGGCTCCTGAGCCTGCTTCTGAAGATTCCCATTCAACATGGCTGTAATCTTAACAGTGTGACTCCAATCCAGCCGACCCCGGGGCTTGGGGACCACTGAACTGGATAAAACGAACCTATCACTACTGATGGGTATCTCTGGATCTCGGCCTAAATTCTCCACGCTGTTTCCCCACCAGGAAATCCCGACCCTCTGAGCCCTGAGAAAGTATTCTTTTGCGTGTAGCCATACGAGCCAGTGACAGAGGGGAGGAGAGCGGCCAGGTGCACTACACAGATGCCGTGCACGCCCGTGGCCAAGCAGCCATGCGGAAAGAGCACTGGACAAGGAATCGGGCCCAGGGCTCAAGCCGCGGCTCTGCCATGTCGTCACCCCGAGAACCCCGGCAAGTCACCTGACCTCTGGCACTTCCCCTGAGAGGAAGAATGAACGCTGACTAGATGATCCCGAAGGTTCCTTCCAGGTCCAAAACTTCAGTCTCTCCCTAAACACGTACGGACGTGTGTATGGACAGAGACCCGGCCGGACTGTGGGTCTCACTGAGAGCGCCCAGGTCAGGGGGGAAGTAAGAGCTGAGACTCTGCGGTCTTCCTCAGGGAAGCCTCGTGACCACCACACTAACGAGGGTCCCCCAGGAATCGTTACCTGCACTTCACACAACGTGTAACCCAAAGAGTGTCTATGTGTGTACTCGGCACTGCCTCCTCTACGAGGTCAGGAACCACGGAGCAGACAGCAACGTGCCTTTGCTCCCGACAGTACTGCGCCCCTGAGCCAGCGAAACGCCCAGCCTGGAGCAGCGCCTGGTGGCGTATGTTAGATGGAAGGCGGAGGAATGCTCGCTGTCAGCAGAATGGGGCACATACCAGATACAAGTATTTACAGGTCTCGCTGAGGAAGAAGCTCTCCATCCGGTCCTCTTTGGATTTGTCGATGACATGATGCAGCGTAGCATAGCCGCACCTACAAAACAATCATCCAGTGAGGCCCGCCTCTGCTCCTTCCCACCTGCTTGTTAACTGAAGAGGCAGAAGTAGCCTATTCACAGAACAACCAAGGCGTCAAGCACCACGTGAGAAACAAATTAGGGTAGGTTTAAGGGCTGTCCTTTCTCAGCCTAGATTGTCTGCAAACTTCATTAAAAAGTGGTCTGGCTGCCGAATCATCAGGTTAATGGTACCGGAAGGGGGCGGGGGTGGAGGAGAGTATTTGCCAAAAGCATAACAGGACACCAAGAAAATGACTCGCAGCAAATTCAAAAGGACTGATTTAAATTTCGTGTCCCAATACTTGTATAGACTGACTAATCATTTGATAGTCTAAGACAATATTTTGAAAGAAAATACTCATGATATTATAGCTAGGTAAAAAAAGCACATCTCAAAAAACTAAAATAGAGTTTTTATACGTATATACACACATTATAGATTTATATATAAATATATAAAAGAGTATAAAACTATATACTTCAATATATAAAAGAGTACAAAACTATATACTTCAATATATAAAAGAGTACAAAATTATATACTTCAATATATAAGAGTATAAAACTATATACTTCAATATATAA